GAGAGCCTAATAAACCCAGGGAATGACTTTCAATCCCTACTTTGGCATTTATTTGCCCAGCCAGCACCAAAAGTTTAATAAATATCTCAGCGGGAGAAAGGAGTTATAGGCCAGTTTGGTTCCACTTGGATTTTAGCAGATGAACGAAATATGCAGAGGAATTTCCAATGTGAATTAGATTAGCTACCCTGGCCCACAGACTGAGAAGAATGGAGAACACCAAAAGAGAATTAAAAGAGATTCCCCACTGCCAGGCACCTAGAGGAGAGATCAAAAGTGGCTCTTGTTCTGTTCTGAACTCATAGAGCATGCTGGGTTCGGTTACTTAAACTCTAGGTTTTCCTTTGGGGCTTCAGTGCCTATTATGTCGAAACTCCCTCTCTGCTCTCAAATTCTCTGACTACGCTTGTAAACTGCTTGTTGATCTGATGTTAGGAGAGGAGTTGTCTGCAGACCAAATTCAGATGTTAAAAAAACAAAACAAACAAAAAACACTTTGGTGCCATTCACAGGGGCCGGTGAGGGGACGCAATTGGCTTTATTGTGTCACTAGAAATGTTCTCCAAGGCCCAAGGGGAGGAGAGAGCTGAGCATTGGTGGGTTGTTCTGTTTATATTCGGCATCTATTGTTTTTTAATTTATTTTTATTTTTTATTTTTTTGCTTTTTTTGGGTCACACCCGGCAATGCTCAGGGGTTACTCCTGGCTCATGCACTCAGGAATTACTCCTGGTGGTGCTCAGGGGACCATATGGAATGCTGGGACTTGAACCTGGGTCAACCATGTTGGCTGCATGCAAGGCAAACGCCCTACCTGCTGTGCTATCACTCCAGCCCCAGATTTTTATTTTTTCAATTTATTTATTTATTTATTTTGCTTTTTGGGTCATACCCAGCGATGCACAAGGGTTACTCCTGCCTGGTTTGTGCACTCAGGCATTACTCCTGGTAGTGCTCAAGGAACCATACGGGATGCTGGGAATTGAACCCGGGTCGGCCGCGTTCAAGGCAAACTGTGCTACGGCTCCAGTCCCATCTATTGCTTTTTATTATCTTGATTATTTTCCACTCACTTAGGTGCTCCCCAATAGTGGGCATCTTGACCATTTTGATCCCTCAAACATATGTCTCCACCAATCTTTTGTGAATGGAAAAAAAACAACTTTGATTTTTGACATTTGCAGTCACTTTTTCATATCCCCAATTTCTGGCAATTACTTCTTTTTATCCCCCAAATGAACTGGTTTTGCATTTACTGCCTCTGATGTGGGTTGTTTAGTGTTTTTTTTCCCCTTTTGCTTTTGGGGTCACACCCGGTGATGCTCAGGACTTACTCCTGGCTCTGCACTCAGGAATTATTCCTGGAGGTGCTTGGGGGACCATATGGGATGCCGGGGATTGAACCCGGGTCAGCCATGTGCAAGGTGAGCGCCCTTCCCACTGTGCTATCACTCCGGCCCCTCTGATTCAGTTTGGAAGGTTACCCTGACTCCCTGGGCCTCAGCAGGACAGTGGACCCAGGCTACAGGTGTACAGCCCACAGGTCGGCCTGGCTGAAGACAGCAGTTTGTGATGCCGAGGGCACCGCTACAGTCTCCCTGGGCTCTTGGTTGGGTTTATGGACCAGAGCAGCTCACAGAACTTAGCTACACTTTGATGTTTATTGGTTGACGACAAAGGCTATGATGAAGGACCCATGAGAAGGCCTAGGGGGGCCTAAGAACGGGCCTTCAGTGCCTATAAAACTGTGGCACATTGTCCTCTTGATCTGTTTCTTACGTTAGAAAATCAAATATTGGTTTTATTTTATGGGATTTTTTTCTTTTGCTTTTTGGGTCACATCCGGCAACGCACAGGGGTCACTCCTGGCTCTGCTCTCAGGAATTACCCCTGGCGGTGCTCAGGGGACCATATGGGATGCTGGGAATCGAATCCGGGTTGGCCGCGTGCAAGGCAAACACCCTACCTGCTGTGCTATCGTTCCAGCCCCATTTATGGGATTTCTTGGTCGGTCTTTCTGCTGGGGTAGGGCTTGAACTCAGAGACCATATTGACCGACTTGCGCTCTCGCTATCCCGCACTAAAGCTCTTTTTTTTTTTTTGCTTTTTTTGCTTTTTGGGTCACACCCGACGATGGTCAGGGGTTACTCCTGGCTCTGCACTCAGGAATTACTCCTGGCGGTGCCCGGGGGACCATATGGGATGCTGGGAATCGAACCCAAGTTGGCCGAATGCAAGGCAAATGCCCTACTCCATGTGCTATTGCTCCAGCCCCCTAAAGCTCGATTTTAAAGGCTTTATCTCCAATCTCCAGCTTCCTCTTCCCTGAGGTCAGAGGACCGAGCTGAAAGCGCCAAATCTCTAAACCCCAGATTATTGTGGTGTCCAGCCCCAAGCCGCCAGCCTGTGGCTGCTCCCCCCACCCCACCTCCACTCACTCCTTCCGCAGAAACGCTGGAGAGTTGAAAGCGTTTGTTAGAATAACAGAAGTAGCCCAGCATTTAGGAAATCACTAGGGTTTTAGGCATCCCATACCAGAAACAAGATAAAAATGTAAGTTTCTCCTCTACCCCGGTCTTACTTCCCCCCTTTGTCCAAGTTGGCTTTTATAGGGTTTCTCCCAAGCTGTGCCAAAGGAGGCTTCCCTAGGTAAGAGCCCGTTGCTAGGGTGGTTGCCAAAGGGTAGAGGTGGGAGTAGTTGATGGTCTCCTTTGATATTCCTTTCCTGGCCTTTGTTCCTGCCGAGCTTCTCTGGCGGGCGGGTCCAGCCTTGTCTGGGTCTGTGCTGGCCCCCAGGTGAAGGCCTTTAGTTCCACGGTCTACAAGATGAATCCTGGCAGCCTTGGGGCTACTGGCTTTATTACTTCCCAGAAATTCATTGCCACGGTGGGCCCTACCTGCTTGCTTCAAAAGGATGAGAGAGAGAGAGAGAGACAGAGAGACAGAGAGACAGAGAGACAGAGAGAGACAGAGGCAGAGACAGAGACAGAGGAGACAGAGACAAAAAGAGATCTCAGGAGTGAAGGAAATTACACACTCCAAACGGAGCACGCAAAGTGACCTTGCAAACTGCTGGTACAGGCCTTTTGCAAAATCTTTGACTTGGTATTCCTGTGCAGAAAAGACTCCCTTGGCAGGCCAGGAGAGAGCCCAAAGGGCTGGAGCATGTGCTTTGCATGTCAGAGGCCTAGTACTGGCAGGAGGTATCCTGAGCACATCCAGTGTGGCCCTGAAACAAACACACAGGGCCGCGGGGAGTTAGCAGGCAGGGAGCTTGCCTTGCACGCAGCAGACCCAGGCTCACTCCTGGCATTCTCTCTGGTGGTGGGGGGGGGGGGGCCCTGTCTGGTGTGGTACCTGTGCACAGAGCCAGGAGCAGGCCCTGAGCACTTCCAGGTGTGGCCCCCAAACAAGAAACAAAATAAAACGAAGAATCCTTTACTAGGGTGTCGCCAGGGAAAGGACTTTGGGCTCTGGTGATCTGCACTCAGACACAGCGACCTAAGTAAGGTTCCTCAAGGACTGTCCTGTGAGCTGTTCGAGCCTTCTGTTGGGGCTCTTCAACATCACCTGATCACAGGGTCTTCAGAGAGTCCCTGCCAGATGCCTGAGGCCTGTCACTGCTTCTGGCAAATCCTGGCAATTTCACCTGAGAACTCGAGGTCTGCACTTTGACCATCCGCTACTTCCCCCGAGAGGATTTGCCTCTGATGGCCCGACTATGCTCAGGGCAATATGATCAAGTTCCATTCATATTGTCAAACTGGCCAGATTTCTAAATAATCTGCACATACGTATGTGTGCGTGAGTAAGTGTGCAGCACTGAAAACATTGATTCCATCGCAGAACATGTGGGAGAATTGGTTTGAAAAGTGAGAAAGGGTGTAGTTTTACTTCAAACGGGGATTAAGGAGAATGGAATACTGCGAGATTATCTGCAAATTCTTCCTCACCCCTAATCATCATGTTTCAATTTGCAACTCCTCTGTTTTGGGGGTGATTCAGCGGGGCCATTAATCAGACGCTCTGACGCTCTGATCCTTGACTTGAATAATCGGTCTTCTTGTTGCCTTTTATCTCAGTGTATTTTAACAGAAACACTTCTAGTGCTTATCTATCTTCTTTGAATCGGGAGCATTTTAGGTCACACGGTAGTATAATCATAGTCGTATTTTCCATGCTTGGCACTAAAAGCAGGCGCTGAGATGAAATCACGAAATGATGCTCATTTACTAAAATACCTCTAAAATACCCTTTCACATACTTGTGAGTTTGCTCTGACTGTATCCGGAGGCATTTATTTTTATAAAGCGACTAAGTTGAATCCTTAGGACCCCTTGGACTGTTTAACCAGTGTGCATCATTCATTCATTCATTCGTTCATTCATTCATTCACTACACCGGTGGGAGGTACAGGCTCTAGGCGTTGAAGACTTTCTAGGCAGCTCTGGAATTGCTCAGAAATAACAGTAACTGCTCTTAGCTCCAGGCGCCAACATCGCCCCTAGAGGGCAAAGGCCTGCTCTAGAGAACAGAATCCGACAGGGATTTGGGGGCCAGGGACTGGGCCTTTCATCCGCAAGGAGAGACCGCCCACCCACCCTTCTTTAGTTCCGCCGAATACGGTGTGTGTACGGGGGCTGGGGTGGGGGGTGGGAGGGTTAAGGTTGCCGCAAGTCAACTTTACCATAAAGCTGATTTTCTGAAAAAAGCAGCTGCATTTTTTAAAAAGCCGACGGAAACGGGGGTGCACGCAGCCCGACCCCCGCACGCCCCGCAGCGTGCCTGGACCACAAAATCCAGCGCGCATCTCTGCGGGCCCCGGTTGAGGTGCCCGCGGGGATGCGCAGGCGGCTCCGGATTCCCGGGGAGGAGCAGAAGCCGGGATCGGGGTTGGGGGGGGTGGTGTGCGCGCGAGTGGGGCCCCCCCCCGAAGGTGACCCCGGGGCGGGCGCGCGCGCCGGAGCCCGCGTCCTTGGCGGGGATTGAGCGAGCGCAGGGGCGGGGCGGGCGGGGCCCGAGTTTCCAATCACAATAGCGGAAGCGCCGAGCGGCCCGGCCCGGCCCGCCCCCGCCAGCGCCCCGCCGAGCCCAGCGCCCGCGCGCCTGACATTGTCTCGGGCCCCGCTGCTCCGCGCCGGTACGTCTCGCCTGGGCTCCCGGGGTCCCCGCGCCCGTGCCGGGGGGCGGCTTCCCGGGGGCCCGGAGGGAGGGATGCGGGCCGGGGAAAGGCCTCCGCCCGCCTGGACCTTTGCTCCCGAGCATCCTTGCAGCGGCTCGGGCGCCTGGTGCAGGGTGGGTGGCCGCTGGAGTTGGGGTGGGGGAGGGCCGGGATCTGGGGCGCTGCGGGGAGCCGGGTCCGGGCGTTTGCACCCCGCCCGGCGCCGCGGGGCTCGCCCGCAGCCCGTGATTCTGCGGGGGGCAACTTGTTGCATTTGCCGCGGAGCCCGGGGCGGCGCGTCCTTGGCGGGCGCCGGAGCTGCCCCGAGCCCGGCGGGCTGCAGGGGACCGGGACACGTGCCCGCGGCCCCGGGCCGGGAGTGGGGAGCCGGGGGGGGCGCGCGGGCGGGTGCAGCGGGGTCTGGAGTGGACCCCCAGCCCGCTCCGGCCTAGCGCCCCGCGGTCCCCGCCTTCCACCTCGGGGCTGGTTCTTTTCCGACCTGGTTTCCGTGATGCTCCGGGCGCTTTTGTTTGCTTGGCAGCTGCGGGTGGCGCGCGGGGAACGGAGGCCCGGCGCCTTCCCCCGGGGCCTTCTCCTGGGAGCTCTCGGGGTGCCCTGGGGCTCGCAGCGCTGCCGGGGCCCGGCGGGGAGAAGAGGGGGCCCGGGGCCGCACTCACCCCCCGAAGGGATCCCGGGGGCGGATCCGGAGGGGAGCATTGACCTCGCAGGGGTCCTGGGGACGCAGCGACTCCCCACCCCCACCTCCCGCACGGATCTCGAGGGCGCGCTGGCTGACCCCCGCGCGGATCGGGGGAGCGCGCTGACTCCCGCACGGATCCCGGGGACGCACTGACCCCCGAACGGATTCCGGAGTGGGGTTGGCCCCCGCACGGATCCCGGGAGACGCCTTGACTCCAGCACGGATCCGGGGGCGCACTGACCCCCGAACTAATTCCGGGAGACGCACTGACCCCCGCACGGATCCCGGGGGACGCACTGACCCCCGCACGGGTCCCGGGGACGCACTGACCCCCGCACGGGTCCCGGGGACGCACTGATCCCCGCACGGATCCTGGGGGACACACTGACCCCCGAACGGATCCCGGGGACGCACTGACCCCTGCACGGATTCGGGCGGGCGCACTGATCCCCGCACGTGTGTCCGGGGCGTAGCAGCCCGGCAGGCGTCCAGGAAGGCGCGCTGACCCCCGCTTGGGTCCCGGCGCGTGACCGCGCTGCGGGGGAGGGGCGCCGGCCGGGAGGAGGAAGCCGGTGGCGACTTAGGACCTTTCCCCTGCGGAGCAGCCGAGTGGGCTCTGCAGAGCGGATCTGAAGACACGTGTCTAGCGATGTAAGGAAGGTGTTTAAAGCACCGGGAATCCGAAGAATTTCCGCCCCCGCCGCATCATTGCGGGGGGATGGGCACACCCGCCGCCCGTGCTGGGGCTGACTCCTGCAGACAGGGCTCACTCCTGGGTACCAATTTGCAGTGCCCGGGATCGAGGTCGGCCGCGTGCTCTTCACCCCACCCCATCATTCTTCCCCCCCCCCATCTTGGCGTGTACGCAGATTTTACTAGAAGGACCTGGTAAGGAAAGTTGTCCTGAGAAGCCGCGTCCTCTGGGGGTGGGGGCGGGGGCGGGGACCGGGACCGCCCTCCCCGGCTCCGCCTTCTGGATGGTCCTTCGGAGGCGCTCCAACTGAGTTGACAGGGGCTATGGAGCTCTGAGCCCCTGTTTCCCTAACAACACTTCCTTTTTTGTGCTGCCTTCTGGGACTCCTACATGTTTCAGGGCTCCTAAATAAGATAATACCGGAGGAAGGAAAACCGCATTTTCTGTCCAGCCAGGAGAGATGCTGTGTGCATCTGATCCTTCCAGCAAGATGTGTATGGATTTGGTTGTAAAGGCTTTTTGTAGAGGCGACTGCATGATCTCATGCATTTTCCCTCTGTACGTGTGTGTGTGTGTGTTGGGATGTCGCTGCCGGTTGTTGGGGGCACATCTGGCTCCAAGCTCAAGGACGGAACCCGGGGCAATGTGCAAAGGCTGTGTTAAGTTGGCTTAGCCATCTCTCTGGCTCGGTAGATATTTTTCTTTAGTATCTACAGAAACAAGTGCCTAATCTCGATTTCATCCCTACAAATTGTGGGGTGCAAATAGGTGGTTTTGTGGGTATGTGTGAAAAGTAGTTGGAAGATTGAAATAGTTGCACAGTTGTCTCTAAGGACAAGTGCTTGTTCCAACTCAGGAGCCTACTTTGAACATATACAATTACCAAACTAGGTTTGGTTACTTAAGTCACTGTAGCTGAACAAAGAAAACAGTCTAGGGGAAGCTGAAGGGGTCAGTGGTCTCCTGGAAGAGCTGATAACAGAGTGGGTTGCAATTTGAATAATAACTACAAAGGAAGAGCTTGTTTGTAATCTCTATGAAAGCAGGCCAGTAATTTTTTTTTTTGCTTTTTGGGTCACACCCAGCAATGCACAGGGGTTACTCCTGGCTCTGCACTCAGGAATTACCCCTGGCGGTGCTCAGGGGACCATATGGGATGCTGGGAATCAAACCCGGGTTGGCCGCATGCAAGGCAAATGCCCTCCTGTTGTGTTATTGCTCCAGCCCCGCGGTCAATATATTTTATACCAAATTGCTGAGGGATTGGTTTGTTTCTTTCAGCATATTTTGCCATAGAAGTTTCACATTACTACATAGAATTTTTTCAGTTTTCAATTTCATCTTGCTTTTTTTATTAAAAAAATTTTTAATAAGTTGAGAAGAAACTGAGTCAAATGCTGCTCGTGTGAGTCCCAAGAGTAAAATCTTATCAAGCATCGATTCATCTTTCTACAAAGGCCTATGGTGCAATTAAAGGATTCAGGATAATAGTCTGAAGATGGTGCCTAGAAGTATGCATCATTTTTTGGTCCCCACTTATTAAGCAAATATTGTGTGTGTCTGATTACACTGTGGCTTGCTTTAAATGGGACTTTGAGAGAAAAACGAGTTAGACCTCATCTTCCAGGAGCCATAATAACCTTTAGAAATTATATTCATTACTGACAATCTCTTCTTTAAGATTAACATAAATATGGGTTAGTCCTGGGAACAGAACTTGTTATGTATGTGTGAGGCCTTGGGTTCATTCCCCAGCAGTGAAAAGAAAAAATACTGAGTCCTATCTAAGTCAGTTTACAGACCCAGTGTAAATTCGGGGGCTACGGGAGAGACAGAAAATATGCTAATTTAAATGCTTTTGTTATGTCTTGTAGTTAGAAGATATAAATCTTCAAAATGGTGTTCAATATAGGAGTCATCATCCAGTAGCCATGTTTAGCCCAAATTTGATGTACTGCAAATTAAAATTCATAAGAGTCTATAAGGAGAGTGTTGAAAATATAAAATCTCTCTGTAACAGATTTATGTGATAAGCTAAACTGATAATTGTTTTGATATATTAAGTTAAATAAAAAATAAATAAACTTTTTTTGATTTGTTTGTTCTTGGTCCACACCTGCCCGGCGATGCTGAGGTGCTGAGGTGTTATTCCCAGCTCTGCCCTTGGGAATCTCTCCTGGTGCGCTAGGGGGACCATATGGGATATTGGGGATCAAACTCGGGTCAGTTGTGTGCAAGGCAACTGACTTCCAGCTGAACTATCTCTCCAGCCTCATAAAATTTGCTAAATACTAACTTGGAATTGCAGAATGGAAAAAAAAATTTTTTTTTTCTTTTCCCCCTTTCCTTCCTTCCAGTCGGGCCATATCCGGTGGTGTTCCCAGCTTATTTATCCCTGGCTGTGCATAGGAGTCACTTCTGGCGGGGCTCGCCGGAGCATATAGGGGCTCTGGGGACTGAGCTTAGGCACTAGGGACTAAGCTTGGGTCGCCACATGCAAGGCACAGCACCCACTGTACTGTCGAGCCCCCAAACCCAGTTGGAATGGGGCTCACAGAAATACTGCCTTGATGAAATTCTCCATCAGGCAAGGTAGCGTGGCTCTCTAAATGACAGCGCGTGGCCCAGCTCTGTATAATGTTTCGTTTCTTTTCTTGCAGTGCACGATGGCAACCCTGAAGGAAAAGCTGATCGCACCCGTTGCAAAGGAGGATGCTTCAATCCCGAACAATAAGATCACTGTCGTGGGTGTGGGGCAGGTCGGGATGGCCTGTGCCATCAGCATTCTGGGAAAGGTACGTTTCCAGAACGCCTGCGACGGCAGCTCGGTCTGGTCTCTTTTGGCACGACATGAGTTTTTATTTTGTTTGGGGCCATACCTGGCTGTGCTCACCGCTCGTATCTGGCCCTGGACTCTGGGATCACTCCTGGCAGTACTGGGGTACCATATGGGGTGCCCGAGATCAAACCCAGGTCGGCCCTGTGCCCGGCAAGCACCTCACCTCTTGTACTGTCTCTCCAGCCCTCCAGAATGATTTTTTTTTTGATCCGGTGATGCTCAGGGGTTACTCCTGGCTCTGCACTCAGGAATTACCCCTGGCGGTGCTCGGGGGACCATATGGGATGCTGGGAATCCTAACTCGGGTTGGCCACGTGCAAGGCAAATACCCTACCTGCTGTACTATCACTCCAGCCCCCCATGATTCTGTTGTCTATAAAGCATGCTAACCCGGTCTGTAGAGCATGTTTAAGTGATAGGCATTAGGCACCTCACATCAAAATATGTGAATTTAAGTCAAGGTTCTCCGGAAAGGGTTGCAAGAATTAGCATCCCCAAGGAACTTAGCATTCAATGAATCTAATCTCCTACCTTGTGCTACCTCGATTTGAAATTCCCCCAGTGCTCTCTGAATTCTGTTTACACCCCAAAGCTCACTTAAGTTCCTCATTAATCAGGCACACTCACTCAGTATTCTGTTCTTTGCCACGTACCTTGGATGTTTTGGGCCGGTCCTTGTCAGGTTCTGTCGAATGTCCCTTGATTTCTATTGTGCAATGTTTCCTTGTACTCAGTTCAGATTAAGTTGCTGGGCGGGGTCATGCCTGGACAATGTCATGCCCTCCCTGCCGGCGGCCATGCTGCTCCTTCAGCTTGCCTCACTGCCGGCGGCCATGCTGCTCCTTCAGCTTGCCTCACTGCTGGACGCCTCTGGTCCAACAGGGGACAGCGAGATTTCTCCACCGCAAAGGTGCCTTTACTGTCTATAATAAACCTGCCCAGTGGCCTTTTGAGGACACGGAAACAAAGATTTATATATTCTTACATAAGCACTGGGTTTCACCTTCCATTCTCTGCGTTTTCATTCCTCTAGGCTATATTTTCCCTGTATTGCTCCACAGGACTGGCTGGGAGCCAGCATCCCTGTAGTGGTTCAAACCAGTGAAGCTTCCTTTAGTCGCTAAGGACTTTTGAACAAAGAGCCCTTTCCTTAGTTACTTCCTGGAATCGATTCCTCCTCCTTTCTTTCTTCTCTAAAGTAGGCTGCCTTCCCTGCAAAAGGCTGCTGGCATCATCGCGGCTCTTTGGTCATATCCTGAAGGCCACTAAGCAGCTGAGGCAAGGAGCTGTTTGCACGGTTTAAATCTGAACAGACTCTGCGTCTTCATTGAAGAAAGATTATATGTATATAATATAGCACCGCAGGTAGGGTGTTTGCCTTGCATGTGGCCAACCTGGGTTCGATTCCTCCACCCCTCTCGGAGAGACCAGCAAGCTACTGAGAGTATCCCACCCACACAGCAGAGCCTGGCAAGCTCCCCGTGGCGTTTTCGATATGCCAAAAACAGTAACAACAAGTTTCACAATGGAGATGTTACTGGTGCCCGCTCGAGCAAATCGATGAAAAATGGGAGGACAGTGCTACAATGTATAATATATATGCAATATATTATATATCATATCATATATATGATATATAATATAATACATATAATATATAATTCATATATTTTGGTTGGGGGTGTGTTGATTTTTGGGCCCACACCTGGTGATGCTCACGGGTTATTCCTGGTACTGTGCTCTGGGGTGACACCTAGCTGTGTTTAGGGTTACTGTTTCATGCCAAGTCCAGGCCCCGTTCCCCCAGCCCAGAGATTGAGCTATCTCTGCAGTCCCACTGAGAGAATCTTATTGAAGAAATCAACTAAAATATGTGACATTCTCAATGAAAATTTGATCCCTTTGCTTTTTTTTTTTTGGCTAGTTTTAACTCCGTAGGTTCTTGTCATTCCGGAGAGCTGTCTGCTAGGTTTTTAGGGAATTTAAATAATCTCCAATTGGGGCTTGCTCTACAGGCAGGTAAGGAGGAAACATTCTGGCTCACGTTTGTTGGAAAGCAGAGACTGGAGCACAGTCAAAGTGTCTCCCCAACACACTTCAATCCGGCCTCTGGGACTGGAAGGGGCCAGTTTTCAGGAGGGGGTCGCAGAGGCTTTGGGGAGGTCCGGGGGCAAGTCAGAGTTCCACAGCCACAGTGAGGGAGCTGGATGTGGAACCAGGGTCCGAACTCGTTGCAGGTGGGTCGCGGGGTGGTGAGGATGACCCAAGGCCCGCTCTAAACTATGTGCTTGGCGCTGAGGCTGCGTCTCCGGCCCCTGGAACTCAGAGCTGTTAACCCTCGTGATTCTCTAGTTTCTTTTTTCCCCTCTGTGCAAGTATTGAAGCGGTTAAAAATTAAAGGTATTTGTGAAACACTAGCCAGAGATTTTTCTAGCCTTTGGCTAATCTCAAAATTAGGACTTTTCAGGAAATTATACGGGTGATACCAGAATTCTAAACGGAACCGGCCCTAGGGTGGTTTTAAACCTAAATTGAGAACCTCTTGGTAAATAATTCAACCGAGACCGTATCTGCAGTTATAGAATACTTCGGTTCCATTCAAGTGCTGGCGAGAGCAGCATGCTAACCCGGTGAGACGCTTGCCCTTTATCGGCCGTGAAGAAATGATTGCCTTGTTTAAAGACCCTCAGAATGAATGTCTTAGTCCCATAATAGGTGAGGGTTCGGTGTTTGGAGGGAACTTGAGGGAGCACAGCACGGGTGCTGGTAGGGTGCTGCTTTGGACATGCCCAACCCTAGTCCAACCCTTGGACATGCCCAAACCTAATTTCAGCGTTGGCTCACACTTGGTCCTTAGGGAATACCTAGAGTGGACCCCCCCCCCCCCAGCATGGGTGAACGTGGCCCCAAACCCAGAGCAAACCAACAAGAAATCAATGAAGAGCTTTGGGGTGGTTCCTAGTGGCTCAGGGGTGGGAAGGGCCACGGGCACCACAGGACTGAGAACATTATGGCACTCCCTGGGCTACTCCTGCCCTCTGCCTCCCCTCCCCCGCGTGCTCCCCTGGTCACTGTAAAGCGCTTTCTATCCTCCGTCTCAGTTACCAGTCACAACCTCAGAGCCCTTGAGCAGTTAAAGCGCCCACGGTGCCGGATCTGGCCTTTCCAAGTTCATTCCTCATGTGCTTCTTGGGGGGCCACTCATGCGTGTGGCCCCAGAGAGTGGGTGACGCCAGGGCACCAGAGGGAGAGGTGTTGGGAGGAGCGGGTGGCACACCAGCACCCTCGGGAGAGGATGACCCTGTACCCACCAGCATCACAAGTGTTTTCTCTGCTCCCTGCCCTCTGTCCTCCCTGCAAGCGGTGTTTTTTTTTTTCTTTTTGGGTCACAGCCTGTGACGCACAGGGGTTCCTCCTGGCTCTGCACTCAGGAATTACTCCTGGCGGTGCTCAGGGGACCATATGGGATGCTGGGAATTGAACCTGGGTCGGCTGCATGCAAGGCAAACGCCCTCCCCGCTGTGCTATTGCTCCAGCCCCCTGTACCCACCTCCTGCGTCTCCAGCCCTCACAGTCTGAAATAGCTTCTTGCCTTCGTTTCGTCCCCATCCAGTCTGAGGTCATAGAAATGTTTCTGAGTGTGCTCGTGACCCAGTGCTCGTGGATTTGGGACCAGCGTTCCTCAGATTTTCATGACACGGTTTCCTCTTCCCTGGCTTCTAGCACCCAGCATGACCCTCCCCACTAACGAAACTCTTCCAGTCCAGGCTTTGCGTTTTAGCTGCCTGGCTCCTCCTCTTATCAGGGCCCGGCAGCGCTGCCCTGCAGGGTTATCATCAACTCAGAGCCTCTGCGTCCCGCTGTCTGTCCTTGCTGAGTCTGTCCTTCTCTGCAAACACAGCATAAGCAGCTGCGTAGAATGAGCAGCCGTGGCCTTCCAAACAGACTGCAGAGCCTTTTTTTGTGTGTGTGATGCCTTTTTGAGTTGGCTTCCATGTGGTATTTGTACAAAAATAGATAGATTCAACCCCCGAAACAGACCTGAACAGCTTTGGCTCTGTTGTCTTCCCGATGCTGGGGCAAAAACACTGGGCCTCACTTTGGCACGGCTCTCTCAAAGGGGGGCAGGAAAAGCTATTGATTTCTAAAGAGCACAATTGTTGCCTCAACAAATAATGCTTGTTCTTTTTCGTGAGTGATTTAGAGGAAGTTCTTTTTCCTCCCACATGCAGATGAAACCGTTGGGGTAGAAAAAAATGCAGCCAATGCAAACCCAGAAGACTGGATGACAATAGTTTTTCTTTTTTTTTTTTTTTGGCTCAGAGGAATGAGGGGTTAACTGTGGTTATTCCTGGTTCGCGTGGAACTCGAGATTAAAAGATACTTGTGTTGTATGTTCAACAAGGTTTCGGCTATCATGCCGACTTCTGAAATGACCTTGTTCCATAATAGGAACCTTGCTGCTGCAAGCCTTTTGATCTGTTTATAGCTTAAAAGAAAAGTCTATATGGCAAATTCAATATGTGGATTGCGGAGGGAAATTTATTTCCGTCAAACAGCATCAGTCCTTAGCCACACCTTCCCTTCGCCTCCACACTCGAGTGTTTCAATGTGGCCTCAGCAGCTAAATCCAGCACTCTACTTATTTATTTATTTATTTATTTACTTTGAGTGTTGGATCTCTTCCGTCCTTGCCAGCTGAGTATGCATGCCACCGCCGGTGCCGTCCGTCCACCTGCTGGGACAAAAGAGAAGATCCGCGAGCCTGTGACATCCTTTCCTACTCAAGCCCCAAATTGTTTGGCTCTGTCCACTGAAGCACGCATGTGATGTTGCTAAAATAAGAGCCATCTTCCTAGGACTCAGTTCCTGGACAGAAGGTCACAGCTATTATTAACATCTATTACATCAGGCCGGGAAGATAGCTCAAAGGGCCAGAGTGCAGCCCTTGCCTGTGGGGAGGCTTGGGTTCAGTCCCCGGCACCGAACATCCCTGGTGTGGCCCAAAGACAAAATTTTAAGAACCCAACAAAAGAGACAAAATGAGGGGGCTGGAGCGATGGCACAGCGGGGAGGGCGTTTGCCTTGCATGCGGCCGACCCAGGTTCAGTTCCCAGCGTCCCATATGGTCCCCTGAGCAATGCCAGGGGTAATACCTGAGTGCAGAGATAGGAGGAACCCCTGTGCATCGCCAGGTGTGACCCCAAAAGCCAAAAAAGAAAGAAAGAGAGAGAGAAAATGATGTTGAATTCATGGAGGGCAGACACAACACAAATGATGATGTATTGTTTGTGTTGTGTATTGTACACATTGTATTGTGTATTGATGGTGATTTCAGAGGCTGCTGAGGAGCAAAACTTATTTCAGAATTTTGGAAACCTGTGAAGACAAAAGTGGATGAAAATAGGGGGCTAGAGCAATAGCGGGTAGGGTGCTTGCCTTGTAGGTGGTCCATCCGGGTCTGATCCCAGGCACCCCATGTGGTCCCTGGCACGCTGCCAGGATCAATTTCTGAGTACTGAGCCAGGAGTAAACCCAGACTGTCGCTGGGTGGGTGACCCAAAAGGAAGGGATGGAGGGAGGGAGGAAGGAAGGAAGGAAATGGTCACATTTGGTGTTCATGGGAATGAGAAAGTAGTTACAGTCTACACCCCATCTCACAGAAAGAGCCATTTCAGAAGTTCTCGGTAGACCTCACAAGGAAGCTAGAATCTGAGACCCTCAGGCATGCTGCCGGCCCCTCGCCCAAGCCTGGCCAGCTGCTGCAGCTCTTGTAGAAAGTAGGTCGTGGTCCCACCTCTGCGTGTCCATCTGCTGGCCACATCCCTGCCGACTTCTCCAGTTCCACTACAGGCCTTTCAGGTTCCCTTCTTGCCCTTAAAGCACTTCCTGAACCCCAGCTACCTGACCTTTCCTGCATCAACCCCCTTTTGCATTTTTAAATGTGCTCCGGGTATCAACTCACCATTCACAACTTTGGCGAAATGTCCTAAAAACAGCAAAGGCAAGAACCCAAGAACTCCGCTTTGCCAGAGTTGTCAGTCTTGGCTTTCCGTGAGCTCACAGACTCGCAAAGCGGAAAGGTGGTAGGGTGTATCTTCATATTCACCCTGGACCCATTGCTTTAGAAAGGACCAGGGCTTTCTTCCACCCAGTATTCATGTAGGAAACACACAGACTGTAAACTATATAAACTATGTAAACATAGCTTACAGCTATGTGTGTTTACAGCTATGTGTGTTTACAGCTATGTAAACACACATAGCTGTAAACTATGCAGCTTAGAACACCTGCGTTTCGGAACATAAAACGATGACTAGGTGAAGGTTTATTTATTGATTACAGGCTTTATATTTGGGATGGGAGGTGGAAGGTGGCGGTTAGAACTTGAAATAAGCGCTCTGAGGCCTGGTGAATTTGAATTTTTTGTGTATAGAGAACTTAGAAGCACCCGAACCCTCAGCCCATCAAAGTCCCCTCTTTTTCTTTTCTTTTTTTTTTTCTTTTTTTTCTTTTTGGGTCACACCTGGCGATGCACAGGGGTTTCTCCTGGCTCATGCACTCAGGAATTACTCCTGGCGGTGCTCGGGGGACCATACGGGATGTTGGGAATCGAACCCAGGTCGGCCACGTGCAAGGCAAACGCCCTACCCACTGTGCTATCGCTCCAGTCCCCCAAAGTCCCCTCTTGTTGCACTACCAACTCATCCTCACTAGTCAGAGCCAGCCTGAAGGATCCAAGATGCAAAAGGGCCACAGAGGTGTTCGGCCGGCAGGGCACTTGCCTTGCCCGCGGGTTCAGTTCCTTGAATCTCGAGGCAGAGTAAGCTCCGAGTGCCTCCTTGGTGGCCCAGAAAACAATTGAAGATTCCACCAGGGCTTCAGGTTCTGCTGGGGGTGGGCACACCCAGCAGTGCGTGGGGGCGCTGTGAGAACAGGCAGTGCTGGCATCGGGGCGCGTCCCTACGTGCCAAGTATGCGCTCCCACTCCTGGAACTCAGCCCCCGAGTCCTGTTCTCAAGGCTCCGTGCTCCCACTCAGACCCTGAGTGATTTGACTCCAGTCTGCACCACAGACGCTCCGGTAGCAGGAGTGACCTGCCCAGCGTGGTCTGGGTCGGGCCGAGGGTTTTCACACTGCCCACCCTCAGTTAACGTGAAAACCTCTGAGACCTGAATCTGGGGGGGAACAGGTCGATGGCATCAGGCGTCTTTGTCATCTACATTTTTTAGATGCTTTGTTCTTATTTTGTGGAGGTCCCCTGGCGGTGCCTGAGGCTGTGCTTAGGGGTGCTCAGGGCTAAGTCTGGCATGGCCTTGTCTATGGAGCTGTCTCTCGGATAGATTAATTTTTGGGGGTGGAGAAGCGGGATTGGGGGCCACACCTGGCGGTGCTCAAGGGTCTCTTCCTGGCTCTGCTCAAGAAGGACACCAGGCGGGGTTCGCGGACCTTCTGTGGGTCTGAGTGCAAAGCTCGGTAGGCCATAGGCCAGGCATTCTCTCCTGCCTCAGTCTACCTGTTCTTAAGGAATTAGCATCGTGCTATTTGAACTTCAGCTGAGTACTAGAACATGATGTTCTGAACCATCATGCCCTACACATTGATGTTAATACTATTAATATCAAATATGGATATGCCAAACACAGTAACAACAAGTCTCACAATGGAGACGTTACTGGGCCCACTCGAGCAAATCGATGAACAACGGGAGAACAGGACAGGATGGTTATTAAACAGATTATTGAACATTATAAAATAACATTTAATTTTGGTTCTTTTTTTGGGGGGGAGACACCTGACCATGCTCAAGTCTTTACCCCTTGGCTCTGTGCTCACTCCTGGGGGGGCTGTAGGGAGTATATATGGTGCCTGGGATCGAACCCCGGTCAACCGCGTGCAAGGCCAGTGCCCTCCCCGCTGTCCTGTTACTCCAGCCCCAGTGTTCAGTGTTTTTCCTAGGTGCGTTTCATTGTGGGCTTATTAAAGAACCACATCTAGTTCCTTGGTAAAATCCTTGAGGGTTTTAAACTTCGGGCTCTGAGCCGCAGGAAGGCTCTCCACAGCCGTGGGCGTTAATCTCCGTGTTCTTGCACCCACAGTCTCTGGCGGATGAGCTTGCCCTGGTGGATGTGTTGGAGGATAAACTCAAAGGAGAAATGATGGATCTGCAGCACGGGAGCCTGTTTCTTCAGACTCCTAAAATCGTGGCCGACAAAGGTACCTCATGCCTGAGGCGTTCCGCGGGAAGTGGGCGTGGGCGTCTCCACTCTGAGGAAGTTCCCCTTCATCCTCGTGAATCCTGTGTGGGCTGTTCCTCAGTCCAAGTCTTTGAGCATAAACATTCACGTGAGCCGTACAAACCCTCCCCCACATGCCTTCCACACATTTTGCCTAGAACACTGGAGAAAAGTTCACATATCTGAGACTACGAATGAGATGTTGTGGGTTGTTTTTGGGTATTTTTTTGGGGGGGACTTTTTGGGTCACACCCAGCGATGCTCAGGGGTCACTTCTGGCTCCGCACTCAGAAATCACTCCTGGCGGTGCTTGCGGGACCATATGGGATGCTGGGGATCGAACCCTGGTCAGCCGCATACAAGACAAACTCCCTAACTGCTGTACTATTGCTCCGGCAATAGATGTTTGGGCCTTCTAAAATGAACGCCTTCTGGAAGCTAAATGAATTCGTATTCTAACTGACTGGCTCTGTGGTTGGCACATTTATGCGGCAATACTGATGCAGAAATGTGGGTCTCCAAGCTAATTCCTCACAGAGCCACACTAGCCCCAGCCTTGGTTCGTTGGGTTCTTGACATTCTGGGCACTGAAGTACACATGGTTTGTCTTTCTGGCCATGCTATGGAGGTAGTTCCCGTGAACCCTGTTAAAGGAAGTGGACTTAGTCCTAGAGGTTGTCAGAAGTCAGGTCAGCGTGGTTGAGTGCAGTGAAACATCGCAGCTGTGAGTCTGTGGCTATTAGCAGGCACATACTTCCTGGGGGCAACAGTGAAATGTTCCCCCTAGAAGCCTCTTAATAGTGAATTATTAACCTTAAAATACTGACTTAGAAACGAATGTCTATCCAGGAATCAATGCCTCAGTGCCGCCCTCCCGTGCCTTCTGCTGTGGTCGGGGGCAGCGTCGGGTGCCAGACCTTGTCTTATGCTCTGCCTGTTATTGGCAATCCGGTTTCTCCGACGTTATTAGTAGCAAGTTGAACGTGTTAGCCAGAAACAGCAGTCAAGGCTGGCTTTATTTCCCTCATCCCTTCTCCGTGCCAATGTTCCTGGGGGGAACTAGAAGCCACAGAACATACCATTTGAAAACCTAACACAGAAAGTTTAATTCTCATGTTTTGTTTTCTCAGAAGGTCACAGATGGTGTATTTTGATGCGATGTTGCAATTAAAGTACCTACCCGCCCCCTTTCAAATTACTCTGTGGCTAGCACTGTCCTCCCGTTGTTCATCAATTTGCTCGAGCGGGCACCAGTAACGTCTCCATTGTCAGACTTGTTACTGTGTTTGGCATATCGAATACATCACGGGGAGCTTGCCAGGCTTTGCCGTGCGGGTGAGATACTCTCGGTAGCTTGCCAGGCTCTCAGAGTGCTGTGACCACCAAATCTTTTTTTTTAAATTATTTTTATCAAGTTATTCTTGATGACTTGTTACATTCAGTATTCCAACACCAATCCCACCACCACTATTGCATCTTCCTATGACCATTATTTCCAATTTTCCCAACCACCACGTAAGCCCACCCCAGTTAGCAGGTCCTAAATAATTTATTTTCCTTGCTATGACTCATTCAGTAAAAATAATGGGAAAAGGTTTCCTTAAAAGAAAGCGTGTGGAGATTGTTCTATCTCACCCTGGTGCCATGAAGCCCTTGTGTAAGAGATTCCTAACATATTGCTACAGGTTAAGCCTTACGTGTATATATTTTCTCAATCAAGATTGAGTGCCTCTTATTTTACATCCTGTCCAATGTGGTGTGCTACTCCTGGTATATCAGATGTGACCACCAATTCTAAGAGTTTCCCCCATTTCAGCCTACTCTGTGACCGCCAATTCTGAGTGTCCCCCTTTCAGATTACTCCGTGACGGCCAACTCTAAGATCGTGGTGGTGACAGCTGGAGTCCGCCAGCAGGAGGGGGAGAGCCGACTCAACCTGGTGCAGAGGAACGTCAACGTCTTCAAGTTCATCATCCCTCAGATCGTCAAGTACAGCCCGAACTGCATCATCATTGTGGTCTCCAACCCAGGTACCAGCCCACTGGCATTCAGGTCGTGTCAGCTCAGTGTTCAGGGTGGGGAGGAGGGGGTGTCTGGTTTCATTTATTTATGTCTGTGGTTGATTTTGTTTGCGGGCCATACCCGATGGTTGCTCTGGGCTTATTCCTGGCTCAGCATTTGAGGATCACTTCTGCTGGGGCTTGGGGAATCATTTGGGGAGCCAGGGATTGAACCTGGGTCAGCCGCATGCAAGGCGAACACCTTAACCACTATACTATCCTGCCGCTTTCTTTTGCTTTTTGAACCTCAAGTGCTTTACCCATGTGTGCGCCAGGAGAAGCTACTTGTGCCTTCTGCTGTGGGCCACAAATGTTTGCACAAAAATGGTGCCGTCCCAGGTCAAGTGCTTGAAAATCTGAGAAGAGTTTTTTATAAAGTAATGTCATCTGTTTTGTTTTTTTTTTTACCTGGGTTTGTCTAAAGCTCTAAAAGCTTTTTAAATGTTGTTTAAAGATTACCGGGGATGGGGCTGGAGTGGATAGGGCGTTTGCCTTGCACGTGGCCGACCTGGGTTCGATTACCAGCATCCCATGTGGTCCTCCGGGCACCGCCAGGAGTAATTCCTGAGCGCATGAGCCAGGAGTAACCCTTATGCATTGCCGGGTGTGACCCAAGAAGATAAAAAAAAAAGATTACCGGGGATGTCTTGCTAAGCATTTAAATGTGGTTTCAGATTTTCAGAAAGTGTTTTTAAGAGACATTTGAACCTCTTTTCCCCAAACAAATATTTTCTAGAGCCTTTCTTTCACAAACTGTTCAACACTAAATCAGAGTTTTAAGAAAGCCATTAGTTTGGGATGGAGACATGCTTGGGAACATACACTCTTCACATACAAGGGAACCATATGTCCTGAGCACTGCTCATATGACCCAGGGAAAGTAAAATATAAGAGAGACAGTTGTTGATCTGATGGGATTTTTGTTTGTTTGGTTTTGATTTGGGGGACCAGGCCTAGAAGGACTAGGGCCTTGTCCCAGTTCGATGCTCTGGGGCTCACTCATGGAGATGGTCAGGGTTTGAGGGGACCACGTGTTGTGCCTCCTACATGCCCAGCGTTCATTCAGCCTTCCCTGCTGGGTTTAAAGACAGAAATAGGTCATGTTCATGAACAAATGTATCCTCATCCAATATCGTAAGTTAGATATTGCTTTCCTTGCTTTTCCTTTCCAACACAGTCAGAGTAAACATTAAAACTTCTGGAGATAGATATCCTCTAGCTCCAACAGTCAAAAAAATTTTTTCCGGTTTCTATTTGCTGCTGTTTACTATTGTTGAGCATAATAATTATATTGGTAAAATGGGCAAAAAAAAATGCTTCTGATAATTTACATAAAAACCAAGAACTGTGGACTCTATTCTTTATGAAAATTTTTTTGGCTTTTGCACCACACCCAATGATGCCCAGAGCTTAGTCGAGGTCTCTTCTGGCAGATAAGGGTGTGTGGAGTGCTGGGGCTAGAACCCTTGTCAACACGTGCAAGGCAAACACTCTCCCCACTGTGCTATCACTCCGTCCCCTTTATAAAATATTTGTATAGAATATCGAGAGTTAAGAAGCAGCAAGGACAGATTATTTTACTGTTGTTATTATTGTGCCATCCTGGATTGAACTAAATAGTTCAGATTTATATCTAAAAAGTCTCTCTCAACGGGGCGACTGAAACCTCATGGGGGGGGGCGTTCCCGGCTCGTCCTTCACGGCCTACCGAGGTCACGAGTTGCCCCCCAGGAGCGGCTCTCAGGCACAGCCATGGCTGCAGAGCCATAGAAACCAATCTTATAATTATCTGACTCTTGGCAGAAGTACTTCCAGGCTTAATATTAAAATATCAGAAATCCAAAATCGTGCGGCCGCAATAGCGGCCGCCCAACATCATTTGGTTCTTATAACCAGCTGTAGAAAACAAATTATTTCACAATGCCTTTTCAGCAGGTCTGATTTTGGGGTGTAAACTCTAAATAATAATGGTGCATCTTTTGTCAAAACAATGAATCTAATCAAAGTAGATAGAGTGTTAACTAGAATTCATCTGCCTCACAGGCATTGGGAGGGTTGGGAGGGGGGCATATTGGGGTTCTTCTTGGTGAAAAATAAGTACTGGTGAAGGGAAATGTGTTTGATGATTGCATGACCGAGACTTAAACCTGAAAGCTTTGTAACTTTTCCCACAGTGATTCAATAAATAAAAATAAAATAAAAAAGTAAAAATAATAAAATAAAATAAAAAGTCTCTCATCTAAGAAAAAATAATAAAAAGTCTCTCATCTATATCTAGTGACATAGTAGGGAAGGCTTGACAGTCAGTCTGTATGAAGTGATCACCTCTTCCTTGCACTGGAGGCTGATGATAATTATAGGCTGTACCAGCTGTCCAACCTCTGCAGTGCTTCCAAGTCTTTTTTTTTTTGCTTATTTTTGGGGTCCACACCTGGCAGCGCTCAGGACTTACTCCTGGTTCAGTGCTCAGGGGTCATTCCTGCAGGGATCAGGGGACCATATGTGGTTGCCAGGGTTTGCACCTGGGTCTGCCACGTATAAGGCCCTTCCTGCTGTACTATCTCTCCAGATTTTTGCTTCAAAGTCTTAACTCCAGGGAGTTGCTCCTGTCAAATCCATGTTGCCAGAAGTTGAGAAATGCCCCCTCTAAAATTAATTTAATTATTAGCCTACTGCGGTATTAGACCAATACTAAGTGCCCAGAAAAGCGTAGAGTAGCTCATCTTGGCAACCTGTAATTACTTTTGCTTTATGATTCTGGTCCTTCCCAGTCATGGAATGTTAGGAACGGAAAAGAACTTAAGTGGTGATCTGATTCCACCCTTTTCCTCTCCATACACACCAAGTTAAGCTGCAGATAACGTGTTCAAATATTACATAAATCAATGAAAAATTGATTTCCACAAGATAAAGCAAAGGGAAATAAGAAAATGTAAAATTGGGGGCCTAAAAGATAGTATAGTCTCAGCACAACAAGTACGGCTCTTGTCTTGCACACAGCCAACCTGGATTTGATCCCTGGCACCATATATGGCTGCGAGCACTGCCAGGAGTGATCCCTGAGCACAGAGCCAGGAGCAAGCCCTGACCATTGCCAGGTGTGTCCCTCAAACCAAAAAGGAAAAAGATAAAGAAAAAATACTGGGAAGTGGGGGATTTAGACCACACCTCTCTGGGGGACATTGTGGTGGCATAGTCAAGGGTTGGTGCTTGCAAGGTAAGCGCCTTCACCCCAGTACTATCTCTTTGGTCTAAGGGAGAAATTTCAGTACATTAAGAGATTGTCACGGTCACGGTCCTCCCATTATTCGTCGATTTGCTGAGTGGGCCCAGTAACGTCTCCATCGTGAGACTTGTTACTGCATTTGGCATATTGAATATGTCACGGGTAGCTTGCCAGGCTTTGCCTTGCGGTGAGATACTCTCGGTAGCTTGCTGGGCTCTCCGAGAGGGGCAGAGGAATAGAACCAAAAAAAAAAAGTGAATTTTTTTTTTCATGGGGACAAGAAAGAGGAAGTACTAGTTGCTTGCCTAGCCTGCATCCCCCTTCTAGTCCCTTAAACCACATGTGGTCCCCAGCACAATCAAAAGTCACTCCTGAGCACAGAGCCAGGAGTACTATGAGCACTGTCAGTGTGACCCACCCTCTCTCCCAATATTTTTTGCTGGTCTCATCTCACTTATGTTTTTAAAAATCATTTTTTTTAATTGATTGCCTCACTGTTCTACAATACTATAAAATTTCAAAAGCATAGATTGCAAAATGATCAATATAACCACTTCCCCGATCCCACCACCCCTTGCCTTTTGTCAGCTACCATATTTTATAGAATTTAACCTATTGATGTATTTTGCTGGCTTATTTCCTTTGGTCTGTTTCCTGCTAAAAAGCTTTTGCGCAGAGAAAAGAACTAGAACAGAATAAAAAATGGGAGCCCCATTAACTAGGAGAAGATATTTACACATCCTATGTCTAGTAAGAGGTTCACTTCCAAATTATGTAAAGAAGGCACACAGCTCAAAAGCAAAAGACCCTTTATCTCCTAACTATAAAAAGTGAAAGTATTAAAACATCTTGCTGGGCTGGAGAGATAGCACAGCGGGTAGGGCGTTTGCCTTGCACGCAGCCGACCCGGGTTCGATTCCCAGCATCCCATATGGTCCCCTGAGCACCGCCAGGAGTAACTCCTGAGTGCAGAGCCAGGAGTAACCCCTGTGCATTGCCAGGTGTGACCCAAAAAAGCAAAAAAAAAAAAAAAGCTTGCTGATCACGTTTCTTCAGGGAAGGGAGAAGTGGAGGGGGATGAGGCCCAGGGGAGAACAAACTGACGGAGGGGTTGGAATCGGTGGCGATTTTCTTACTTGTGCCGTTCTCCGCTTTCCAGTGGATATTCTCACCTACGTGACCTGGAAACTCAGTGGATTGCCCAAGCACCGCGTGATTGGGAGCGGGTGTAATCTGGACTCGGCTCGGTTTCGCTATCTGATGGCCGAGAAGCTTGGCATTCACCCCAGCAGCTGCCACGGGTGGATTCTGGGAGAACACGGTGACTCGAGCGGTAAGAGACTCAAAACCACTTAGTTCCCTACTTCATGGGATTCCTTTTGCCCCTGTGACTTTTTTGTGTGTGTGTGTGTGTTTTTTTTAAATTTTACTTTGGTATAGTATATGTGTTACAGTACAAATAAGTCATGGGGGGATACTTGGTAGATTTACTAGGTAAATACCTGATGCCTCATCATTTTTGTCTGCTAATTCTAATGATTCTTTTTAAAAAATTTGTTTGTTTTGGTATCGTACCTGGCGATGCTCAGGGTTTACCCTGTCTCTGTGCTCAGGGATCAGTCATGGAGGTGCTCAGGGCATCATATGGGATGCCAAGAATCCAACCTGGGTCTGCTATATGCAAGGCAGATACCCTACCCACGGTCCCATCATCCCAACCCCCAATTAATGGTTCTTGGCAAAATAAGCTTTTGCTATGATAGTGCTAAAAGCGATATTCAAATTATAACATTTATAATATATATTATTTAAAAATTATATATTTATAATATTGAAATTGTACATTTCCTAGTTGTACTTAATCCTGGGAGAGAACATTTTCTTGCCCTTTGGGAAGTTTGGTCATGTATTTATACCAACATAGAAGCAGATTTTTCATTTCTTTCTATGAATGTTTTTTCACATTCACTGATACGCAATGTTGTTCCAGATTTGACAAGCTGCACTCTCCCAGCTGTTTTTTGATGATGTTTTTCTCATGCCTTGTCATCTTTTGAGCCCTTTCTTGCATTCTTAAACAAACACAGAAAGGGCACCAGGCTCTACTTGAATGTTTCTCCATGAACCCCGTTTCTCTCGGGCTGATGGTGTTGAGAAACCAAGATGTGGGCACAGTTGTGCTCGCATTTTCTGTTTGTCTTTGCTCTGGGCCCTGTCGGTGGACACAACGATCACACCTCTCCGCGTATTGAGGGAGGAATGGATTGATTAACAGAAACCTTTAAATAACTTAAGTCTAGCTTCCAAGGAAATCTGAACTGAGAGGAAAGGACTTTTGCAAACCACTGCCAGGAATGCGCCAACCCTTTCTCCCTTGACAGTGGCCGTGTGGAGTGGCGTCAACGTGGCAGGTGTGTCTCTCCAGGAACTGAACCCAGACATGGGCACAGACCACGACAGTGAAAATTGGAAGGAAGTGCACAAGATGGTGGTGGAAAGGTGAGTGCGAAAGAGGGCTTGCCAAAAGTAGAGAGTATGGGGGAAGTTGTCTGCCATGGAGGCAGGGGGAGGATTGGGGTGGGGGTACTGGGGACATTGGTGGTGTGGTGTGTGTGGATTATCTCATTCTTACTTTGGACAACCTGGCAGGCTACCGAATGTAACCTGCCCACACGGCAGAGTCTGGCAAACTCCCCGTGGTGTACCCAGTATGCCAAATACCAGTAACAATGGTGGGTCTCATTCTCCTAACCCTGAAAGAGCCTTGAATGTGGCACTTTTTAGAATCTCAGGGCTGGGAAGAAGGAAACGTTACTGGGGCCTGCTTGAGGCAATCGACGAACAACAAGATGGTCATGATCGTGATCGTGATTGTGATTGGTGGTGTGGAATGTGCACTGGTGGAGGGATGGGTGTTCGATCATTGTATGACTGAAACTGAAACATTAAAGCTTTGTAACTGTACCTCACAGTGATTCAATTAAAAAGAAAGAAAAGTTTCTCTAAACCTAAAAAAAAAAAAAAGAAAAAGAAAGGGCTTGCTTTATGGGGATTCATTTCATCTTCACAGAACCATCAAGGGCTTCCATAGCGCCTTGCTGATGTCCTCTCTGGACAGTGAGTGCATGGCCGTTATCTTCCCAAACAGACTGATTTATACCCACCACGCTGTCTGTGCCAGCCTGTCCTTTATGGGAAGCAACTATTTTCTTTCTAAAGAAGTTATTTGAGAGAGGCTCTCGGTGACACGCGTGGAAGTAGCATCTGAGAAGGACTTTGAGTTGGTCTCCTTAACGAAGGAGGGTGACTTCTGGCTGCTGAAGACAGTTCAGGGCCTCAGGTGCCTGCCTTGTATGGACCAACCTGAGCTCAATCCTCAGCAGCACCTGTGTCCTGACCACAGAGCTAGGAGTATATCCTGAGTGCCGCTGGGTAGGGCTGCCCAACCCCCCCGAAATAATAACAAGTAAGGTTGACTATGTGGAAGAATAATAGTTTTTTAGTTAAGGATATTCTAAGTCCATCTTTGCCTCCTTTTTTTGCTTTTCTCTTTTGTTTGTTACTAATCAGCCTTTCTTTTCATAATACTCATACTCATAAACTCAGTCATCGTTGTGAATCAGAGCAGATGAGGCATAATCTGGGATTGGGTTGACTGGGCCCGTCAGAGGGGCACAGATTTCTTTTACGTTTTTTTGCCTATCTCTATTTTTCTTTCTCTAGGAATACATTCCCCTTAGAATTAGTTTCTTCCCTTTATAAACTGTTTTATTGTTTTTGAAAAAACAAAACCAAACCAAAAAAAAACAAGATCTTGGATTCGAATCTCAGCATCAACGCTCTAGTCTTGATGAAGCATTTACTCTTTAGGTTGATTTCCATTTTCTGTACTGAAAAGTTACAAAATTATTACAGAATTGAGCGAAAGGGTACATCCTGCATGTAAGCCACCCAAGCAAATAATGTTCGCCATTATTTGCAGAGAATTGTGGTAAGATGAGCTCTTGTCTTAGATATGGAATAATTTTTATTTGAATTTTTACTATATGATTTCATTGATATGTGGAAGTTAAAGATCAAAGCAAATAACAAAGATCTGAGAACCGATAAATTATTGGAGCATAGAGTCTGTTAAAAAGGTCAACTGGTGGAGGGATGGGCACTTGATCATTGTATAACTGAAACCCAAGCACAAAATTTGTAAGCCTGTAACTGTACCTCATGGTGTTTCACTAATAAAAAAAGAAAAAAAATTTTTAAAAAATAAAAAATAAAAGGTCAACTGGTGGGTGGTGATCATTATGTCACGGTCACGGTCCTCCCGTTGTTCATCGATTTGCTCGAGCGAGCCCAGTAACATCTCTATCATGAGACTTCTTGTTACTGTGTCTGGCATATCGAATACGTCACGGGTCGCTTGCCAGGCTTTGCCCTGCGGGCCCGCATGGCAGAGCCTGGCAAGCAACCCGTGACGTATTCAATATGCCAGACACAGTAACAATCATTATGTAATGCTATTTAAAAATCAGACATGCCAGTTTGGACAGTCATAATATTTCAAGGGGTATCATAATGATCCCCCAAATGATTCCTCTAGTAATAAAGCCTTAGTGAATTTTGTACATGACCTAGCAAGTTTACCTAGAGTTTGAGGAGAATTTCCCAGTAATTAATAGGTCATTAGACAGAATTGAAACTCTGATTTTAGGACCAAGAATGTGGCTCCGTGAGAGTATTTGCCTTGTATGTGGGAGGCCAGATATTATCACTGGCGCTACAACAAATAAAAAAAAGTACATTTTGGGGTTTTGTTTGGGGGCCACAGGGATAACTCCTGGCTCTGCACTTAGGAATCACTCCTGGCAGAGTTTGGGGACCATATGGGATTTTTAGTTTTGGGGTCATACCTGGCAATGCTCAAGGGTCGCTCCTGGCTTTGCACTCAGGAATTACTGCAGGTGGTACTCAGGGATCGCTATGGGATGCTAGGGGTCAGGAATCAAACCCAGGTCGGGCATGTGCATGCAAACATGTTACTCACTGTACTATTTTGGCCCCCAAAAGTGCATTTTTAAAGCGAAAAATGAATAAAATGATGTTTAAGGATTGTTTTTTTTTTTCCTGGAACTCGACCCATATTTGGAGAAGTTAAAAAATTGAAAGGGTGTTTAATGTTTTCATGAACACAATCCTTTTATTTTACAAATGAGAAAACAAGGACTCACCCAGGTAAATATGACTTATCCAGAGGCTTCCAGTCAGTGATAGTGTATTAAATTCCAATTTCTTAACAGTCCAGCTCTTGCCTCTCAACTGTTGGGGACTTTGTGGATGTTGTGGTATAGTTTTCTTACACAAAATATTGCCAGCAAAAAATTTAGTTATTACTTTGTTCCTGAGTCAATAAGTAGCCTAAGGATTTTAGATGACAGTGGTGAGTATAACCTCAAAGTCAAGCTATATTTTGTCCTTTCAATGTGAACAGTGTATTCTACAATTTTAATCATCATACGTATAGATATTCTATCACTTAATAACAGGCAATCAAGACCATTGTTAGTCTCATCGAAGACACCAAGAGTTGCCAGGCACCTCAGAGAACATTAATAGGAGAGCAGGAGACAGGCCTAGGAGTCTGATGTCAATGTCGTCTTTCATGGTCTTTTCCTTAGTGCCTATGAGGTCATCAAGCTGAAGGGATATACCAACTGGGCCATTGGCCTGAGCGTGGCTGATCTCATTGAGACGATGTTCAAGAATCTCTCCCGGATTCACCCTGTATCAACCATGGTGAAGGTAAGATAAACTGCTCGACATCAATTTGATTTCTGCTTTTTCTATCCTGTTTTCTTCGGTAGCAGGAATCAATCCCCGTTCCAGAAATATGTTAAGCATTTGTCCTACCACTGAGTTACACATTCAGCCTGACTGATTATTTTAAAAGAAAACAGTGTCTGTTTTCTTATGAATCATGTCTTATTTTCTACAAGTAAATGGCAGGAGGGAAAAGTAAGAGGTGAATGCAATAGATTAGAACACAAGTATGAAAGGATAGTATTTGGGGATAAAACATAATACCAGCTTTCTTAATAGCAAAAATTTTTTAAACATGGCAAAAAATACATAATTACTCAGACTTGGAGTATACATGTTTATTTTCTTTGGTCTATGCATAAAAATATTGAAAACCAAAACCTTAAAGAATATATAAAGGAACTTTTAAAAAAATAAGTAATCTGGGCTGGAGAGATAGCACAGCAGGTAGGGCATTTGCCTTGCACGCGGCCGACCCGGGTTCGATTCCCAGCATCCCATATGGTCTCCTGAGTGCAGAGCCAGGAGTAACCCTTGTGCATTGCCGGGTGTGACCCAAAAAGCAAATAAAATAAAATTAAAAAACAATAAGTAATCTAGTTAATTACAGAGTAAAGTTGACCCTGTAAATAAATTACACAAAGTGATAAAATGTTTTTGGAAATACACTTTTTTTCCAGTAACTTTTTGGGTATTGTAGGAATTGCACCATATTCAGTGCCATTCGGTTTTCAAATATTATTTCAAATATTAGGATAGAGAAGGGATCACTATGACAATGATAGTTGGAAATTATATGATCTCTCTGGACAAGAATTGAGTGCTTAAAATAGATAAAGGGATATACATAATAACTTTTCAGTTCCTTTATTGCAAACGATAATGCCCAAAAGTGTGTCAGGAGTGGGGGTGTGGAGAAGGGGGAGAGAGAGAGAGAGAGAGAGAGAGAGAGAGAGAGAGAGAGAGAGAGAGAAGAACTTTATAACTGTGTATCTTGGGGCTGGAGCAATAGCACAGCAGGTAGGGTGTTTGCCTTGCACACGGCCAACCCAGGTTCGATTCCCAGCATCCCATATGGTCCCCTGAGCACTGCCAGGGGTGATTTCTGAGTGCAGAGCCAGGAGTAACCCCTGTGCATGGCCGGGTGTGACCCAAAAAGAAAAAATAATAAAATTAAAAAAAAAACTGTGTATCTTATGGCGATTCAATTTAAAAAAAAAAAAGACCACATTATTTTAGCACAAAATATCAGCCGCTACCAAAATTTCCTCTTCCGTTAAAGAATCTTAAGGACTTTGGGATTTCATTAGGAACCACTTTTTTATATAATTTAATTTGATGACATGTATTGTTTTATTCAAGATTCTGAATAGATTCAGGAGAGGTATCGTCTCGGTAAATTCGATAGCACAGCGGGTAGGGCGTCTGCCTTACAAGCGGCCAACATGGCTGACCCGAGTTCGATTCCTCCGCCCCTCTCGGAGAGCCCGGCAAGCTACCGAGAGTATTCGATATGCCAGACACAGTAACAACAAAGTCTCCAATGGAGACGTTACTGGGCCCGCTCGAGCAAATCGACGATCAACGGGAGGGCCTTTAATAAAGGACCTTTAATAATAACACATGTGAGACCCTGGGTTCAATCTCCAGCACTGTGAAGCGATAGCACTAAGTTTCTAGTTTAATCATAGTGTATATTTGATGGCCTGTGTATGAACATCTAAAGCAGAACACAAGTCTTGGACAATGGGTTGCCTATAAGCGGTGAAAATTAGAGAATGGGTTTGTGCTTCTCAGGTCACACATGACACAGACGCTGCATCACAGATTCCATCCTTCTCTGCTTTTCTCGTTCCGGCAGGGAATGTATGGCATTGAGAATGAAGTCTTCCTGAGCCTACCCTGCATCCTGAATGCTCGCGGCTTGACCAGTGTTATCAACCAGAAGCTGAAGGATGATGAGGTCGCGCAACTCAAGAAAAGCGCTGATACCCTGTGGAACATCCAGAAGGACCTCAAAGACCTGTGACTGCAGGCTGCCAGGCTGTAGAAATGTGCAGGCGACGCCGTGACGGACCCGGCGCCTTTAGTTTCCATCCGTGTACGTGCATCTCAGTCAGCTTTTACCTTCCTCAACATGTGAAATCGGGGCACTCCAAAGTCAAAGCCCTCACTGGCTTAGTGCTTGCAGTATGAGCTTTTGAACAAATAATAAATTAATGACTGTAGTGTACTTTGGCTCTTGAGATTCATTCCCTGATTTCTGGAACATTTCTGATCGGGGGAACTGGAGTGATATAGGACAGTGAGTAGGACATTTGCCTTGCATGTGGCTGACCTGGGTTCAATTCCCCATATCCCATCTGGTCCCCCAAGCACTGCTGCCAGGAGTGATTCCTGAGTATAGAGCCAGGAGTTGGCCCTGATTATAACTGGGTGTGCCCCCCCACCCAAAAAAAAAACAAAAAAAGAGAAAACATTCAGATTTTCCAAAAGCTCCAGTACATGAAAGATTTCTCTAAATTCTATCAGTCTTTGGTCTTCAGTACTCCACCCTTCAGATTGCTCAGAAAAAGTTTATTAATTGCGTGTGTTATATTAGGGCTTGATCTTATATAGTCTATCTGTATAATTCGCACAGTATTTTCCCTGCTCTAAAAATCCAATGGACCCATTTGATTCTGGAACCTCGGGAACCCCCAGAGCAGCCCGGGAGTGACCTGAGCACAAAGCTGGGGTAAGCCCAAGCACCTCTGGGTGTGACCCAAGCCCTTGCCCCCACCAAAACAAAACAGGGCTTATTATTATAAGCCTGACTAAGAACCATGTTAGTTTGATTGTTAATCAACTGTGATTTGAGGCAAATTATATAACTAATAACTTTCCATTTTCTTACCCATGAAGTAGAATAATAACGATATTTCCTATATAGGTTGTGAAAATTTCTTTTCTTTATTACCTTGAACTTGAGATGATCTTTCTAGGTTTCCAAATCCAGAGTCAGTTATGAATGCAAAACGGGAACTCCAGTGAACCACAGAAGAAAAGCTATCTACCTGGAAACAATACAAACTAAATTGATAATACCATGAACGGAAGCCGGAGGGGTGTGTGGTGGGGGTGACGTCCAACTCGGATCACCCACACAGAGTGAACTCCCTGGTGTATAAGTTCTTCTTAAAAGTCTCTTTGTTAGGGGCTGGAGCGATAGCACAGTGGTTAGGGCTTTTGCCTTGCACGCGGCTGACACGGATTCGATTCCCAGCATCCCATATGGTCCCCTGAGCAGAGCCAGGAGTAACCCCTGTGCATTGCCAGGTGTGACCCAAAAAGCAAAAAAAAAAAAAGTGTTAAATACCATAAAAATAATCAAGGGGACATGACAATTTATACAACAAAGAAGTAAATTATGATTAAATGTGTGGGAGGAAATCCTCAACTTTATTTTAAAAAAAAGTACAAGTTAGAATAATGAAACTCTGGCACATAAGGTACCTATATGCATTGGAATTACTCAGCCTTAAGATAAAATCACGTGGGACTGGAGTAATTGTACAGTGGGTAGGGTGTTTTCTTTGTATGCAAGCAGCCGACCCAGGTTCGATTCCCAGCATCCCTGTGGCACCACCAGAAGTAATTCCTAAGTTCAGAGCCAGGAGTAACCCCTGTGCATCGCCGGGTGTGGCACAAAAAAAAAAGATAAAAATCGTGCAATTTGCAGCTATATGGATAGATTTGAAGAGTATCATGGACGTGAAGTAGAGGGAAAGAGAACGACTCGGAATGACCTGGTATGTGGGATATAAAGAAACACAGTAAGGGAACAACACATGCCCAAGTGCATTAGGAAGGAAGAACATGAGGACCGAACTTAAGCAGGAAGCTTACGGGCGAAAGGATGGGGAATAGGGCAGGAAAGAGAGCACTACCCCATGGCGGAGGGAAGGGGTCACTCGGGGCTGGGGGAAGGAAGGGAGTAAAGCGTGAAACCTCATCAGTAATAGTATTATAAATCACAGTGCCAAAAAATTGTTAAAAACTGCAGTAGAGCAGCTGGTGCGTGGGAAGGAAATGGACACAGGTGAAGGGGGTCTGTGTTGGGACATGGCATGTCTGAAACCCAATCACAATAACTCTAATTCACACACAATAACTCTAATTCACACACAGTTTTTGGGTCACACCTGGTGGTGCATAGGGGTTACTCCTGGCTCTGCACTCAGGAATTACTCCTGGCGGTGCGCAGGGGACCATATGGGATGCTGGGAATAGAACCCTAGTTGGCCGCGTGCAAGGCAAACACCGTACCCACTGTGCTATCACTCCAGTCCCCCCCCCACACACACACACACAATTTTTAAAGTCCATGTCAAGCATCTATTAGAAGGTGGAGGGAGTGCTCACATGTGCTTTGCATGAGGGAGTCTGTTCAATCCTGACAACCTGGTTCCCCAGTAACACTGAGCAACTTAACTTTCCCCACCCAGCACTGTCAAGTGTGGTCCAAAAAGCCCTTCAAATATACACAAATAGAGGCTGGAGCGATAGCACAGTGGGTAGGGCATTTGGCTTGCACACAGCCAACCTGGGTTTGATTCCCAGCATCCCATAAGGTTCCCCAGGCACTGCCAAGAGTAATTCTGAGTACAGTGCCAGGAGTGACCCTGTGCATCGCTGGGTGTGACCCAAAAAGAAAAAAAAATTGTGTGTGAATTAGAGTTATTGTGATTGGGTTTCATTTTCAAAAAGCAAATATATATATATATATATTATATATATACACACGCACAAATATACACAATTTTTATGGATATACCATTGCTAATCTGTGTCTAGTAGGAAAGACTAGACGTTTGGTAAGATTCTAATATTATAATTGCAGAAAAAAGGAAGAGATATAGCAGGAAGAAGCATGAGTTGGTATCATCCTATGCAAGACAGTTGGGCAGTGTTGATTAAAATCGTCAAAGCATATTCTCTGAGTCAGACGCTTCATTTCTGCTGTTCCTCAAGCCCGGTTCTCCCCTGAACACGGACCTCACTTGCTCGTCTCCATGGTTCTTTCCTTGCTTCTGTCCACTCTGGAGGAGCCTGTGTTCTCTTAAACATGTGCTTCTCCCTTGCTTTCCCTTCACATCTTTCTGAATAGGTTTCAATACAAACTTTATTGCTTCACAAAAAATAAGCAAAGCAAAGCAACAACAACAAAGAAACAAAAAAGCCAAGAAGTTCCATTTCTGGGAGTAAATTCTACCTGCCAGCTGAACAATGACAAAGCAGAAGGCTGGAGCTTTTGTCCAGGGGGAGGTATTTGTCTTGCACGTGGCCAACCTGGTTTCAATCCCCAGCATCCCATATGGACCCCGAGGTACCACCAGGAATAATTCCCGAGCACAGAGGCAGGAATTACCACTGAGCATTGCTGGGTGTGGTCCAAAAAAAGAAAAACGGAAAAAAAAAAAAAGAATGACAAAGTGTATATTCTAGTTTATGAAGCATTAGTTATCATAGCGAAAGCTAATGAACAATTGAAATATCTAATAATATAAAGGTAAAGGTAAAGGCCCTCCCGTTGATCATCGATTTGCTCGAGCGGGCCCAGTAACGTCTCCATTGGAGACTTTGTTGTTACTGTGTTTGGCATATCAAATACGTCACGGGGAGCTTTGCCAGGCTCTGCCGTGCGGGCGAGATACTCTCGGTAGCTTGCCGGGCTCTTCGAGAGAGACACCTAAAATAGCCATTCAATAATCCGAGTTCCTCTCTGTTGACTCAGATAATAGAGGAAAGACTTTCCAACATCAAATGCAGTAGACTTGAGCAGGAGATATGGAGGGACGGAAAATTCTTACCTTTCTGGTAGACAGATTTAATTTTATTTTAAAACCACTAAGGAGGGGCTGGAGCAATAGCACAGCGGGTAGGGCGTTTGCCTTGCATGTGGCCTACCCAGGTTTGATTCCCAGCATCGCATCTGGTCCCCTGAGCACTGCCAGGGGTGATTACTGAGTGCAGAGCTAGGAGTAACCCCTGTGCATCACCAGGTATGACCCAAAAAGAAAAAAATGATATATAGAAGATGAGATTTTTCTGTTATGAATATAGCTTGGGTATTTTTGTTTGCTTGGGGGCCATCCCTGGCACTGCTCAGGGCTTACCCTCAGCTCTGTGCTCATAGATCCGCTTCTAGCACTGCTCAGGAGCCATGTGCATGCCAGGGATCAAACAGGTCAGCCGCATACCAAGCAAGATCCTGACCTCCTGTACTTCCTCTCTCTGGCCCCTCAACCTAGTTTTCTGTTTTGTCTTGTGTTTGGACCATACCCCGCAGTCCCGGGGCCAGGGGTGTCACTCCTGATAGGGGTGCCATGGATCAAAACCAGACCTTCTGCCTGCAAAGCAAATGCCTCAGCCCACTGAGGTATCTCTTTGGCTCCTTCCGAATCGAACTCTCTCGCTTTGGAATTGGATGATCTCAATTCTAGTTTGGGCGAACAACAGGGCCAAGGATCTGAGTCGGGGGTAGGGAGCCCGGTACAGGAGCACAGCTACTCACACACGCAGCACGACAGCAACTGGAAGAAATAGAAAAACCCTGAAGCGTAGAGTTAAATAATACAGAGAATTCTTTTTCTAAGGGAGGGAAATCAATCGGAAGGTGATGACAACTCACTTGGCAGGTCACCTCGTTTGTTCTATGAACAAGGACATTTGGCCGAGTGCGTTGCAAAACACGCGCAGTTGTCAGACACATCCTCTTAGTGGAGTGGAGTGCTGGATGGTTGTTGGCAATCGGGCCCTCACCTGATACCAGACAGCTGGGCCTCAGCACTCCCGAAGCCTGAAATAGTCACGTTAATCAGCTACACATTCTAAGACCAATGCACGGGGTATTTTTAACCGTAGACGAAAATAGCACACATATACTAGTGAAGGGCTTTGCAAGGAGACCTCATGAGGTGACTGAACATTTTTGTTGTTGTTGGTTTTGGATCACACCTGGCAACACTCAGGGATCACTCCTGGCAGTACTCCTGGGAGCCGTAGGAGGTGCTGGGGACCGAACCCAGCTTGACTGCGTGCAGGGCAGGTCCCTTACACACTGTACTATCTCTCTTGCCCTGGTTATTACAATTTAAAGGTTTATCACACTCTGCTTCTATCTCTAATACTGTTTTATTTAGGGAAACGAGGTGTCGGGTCAAATCCAGAAGCTACAGCCTGCAGTACTCA